ATCGGAGCTGCCCACCCAACTGTGATCTATCTAAACTTTTGTACATGATAAGATAACCGGGAGAGAGAAATATTACACATACAACGGAGGCGAAAGGCGGTGTAGCTGAAACTTCAAGTTTCACGCATTTCGGCGATCATCGACAGCGGCATTTGAGTAACGGAGACAGTAGCATTATATAGCCGAATATGTCTAGAACTATAATTGTAGTAGAAGATAATTACGTAGAAGCTTATATGATTCGTTTGTATGATACATCCACCGGAATCAAGCGGCAGAGACCGCCGCTCGTGCTTGCATTGTAGCTCTGCCGCCGCTCCTTTGTGCATTTAGTGCATGGGCAGCTGTACAGCGTATCCTTCTCTCATGCATGCGTGCCAATGACCCTGACTTTTGAGCAGACTCAGTGCTGGAAGTGCTGTATAACGTACACATAAGGACGGTACGGATCGATGACCATTGAGGATTGTTGTGCATGTGATGCGTGAATGTATGTATTCTTACAGTGCTGGCAACTGAAATCCGACTCCCTGAGCGGTGCGCTCACATCACGAAAACTCGGCGTGGGATTGTAACACTACGAAATAGAGGCCGCTGGAAAGTGAACCCACCGCTCAGGGGGTCGGATTTCAGCTGCCACCTGTTTACTATGACATTGTGCTACTATCATTAGTAGGCCCTCAGTTTGTCACAGGTTTTCATTTCAATGGGTCACATCGTCTTCTTTTCTCGGGCTGTGTTGCAACACTGATATACCACTGAGCCAGGCTTGTATTTCTCTACCATTCAAATTGAAGCAAAATGTGTGTGTGTGTGTGTGTGTGTGTGTGTGTGTGTGTGTGTGTGTGTGTGTGTGTGTGCCATGTGTGCCATGTGTGTGTGTGTGTGTGTGTGTGTGTGTGTGTGTGTGTGTGTGTGTGTGTGCCATGTGTGTGTGTGTGTGTGTGTGTGTGTGTGTGTGTGTGTGTGTGTGTGTGTGTGTGTGTGTGTGTGTGTGTGTGTGTGTGTGTGTGTGTGTGTGTGTGTGTGTGTGTGTGTGTGTGTGTGTGTGTGCCATGTGTGTGTGTGTGTGTGTGTGTGTGTGTGTGTGTGTGTGTGTGTGTGTGTGTGTGTGTGTGTGTGTGTGTGTGTGTGTGTGTGTGTGTGTGTGTGTGTGTGTGTGTGTGTGTGTGTGTGTGTGTGTGTGTGTGTGTGTGTGTGTGTGTGTGTGTGTGTGTGTGTGTGTGTGTGTGTGTGTGTGTGTGTGTGTGTGTGTGTGTGTGTGTGTGTGTGTGTGTGTGTGTGTGTGTGTGTGTGTGTGTGTGTGTGTGTGTGTGTGTGTGTGTGTGTGTGTGTGTGTGTGTGTGTGTGTGTGTGTGTGTGTGTGTGTGTGTGTGTGTGTGTGTGTGTGTGTGTGTGTGTGTGTGTGTGTGTGTGTGTGTGTGTGTGTGTGTGTGTGTGTGTGTGTGTGTGTGTGTGTGTGTGTGTGTGTGTGTGTGTGTGTGTGTGTGTGTGTGTGTGTGTGTGTGTGTGTGTGTGTGTGTGTGTGTGTGTGTGTGTGTGTGTGTGTGTGTGTGTGTGTGTGTGTGTGTGTGTGTGTGTGTGTGTGTGTGTGTGTGTGTGTGTGTGTGTGTGTGTGTGTGTGTGTGTGTGTGTGTGTGTGTGTGTGTGTGTGTGTGTGTGTGTGTGTGTGTGTGTGTGTGTGTGTGTGTGTGTGTGTGTGTGTGTGTGTGTGTGTGTGTGTGTGTGTGTGTGTGTGTGTGTGTGTGTGTGTGTGTGTGTGTGTGTGTGTGTGTGTGTGTGTGTGTGTGTGTGTGTGTGTGTGTGTGTGTGTGTGTGTGTGTGTGTGTGTGTGTGTGTGTGTGTGTGTGTGTGTGTGTGTGTGTGTGTGTGTGTGTGTGTGTGTGTGTGTGTGTGTGTGTGTGTGTGTGTGTGTGTGTGTGTGTGTGTGTGTGTGTGTGTGTGTGTGTGTGTGTGTGTGTGTGTGTGTGTGTGTGTGTGTGTGTGTGTGTGTGTGTGTGTGTGTGTGTGTGTGTGTGTGTGTGTGTGTGTGTGTGTGTGTGTGTGTGTGTGTGTGTGTGTGTGTGTGTGTGTGTGTGTGTGTGTGTGTGTGTGTGTGTGTGTGTGTGTGTGTGTGTGTGTGTGTGTGTGTGTGTGTGTGTGTGTGTGTGTGTGTGTGTGTGTGTGTGTGTGTGTGTGTGTGTGTGTGTGTGTGTGTGTGTGTGTGTGTGTGTGTGTGTGTGTGTGTGTGTGTGTGTGTGTGTGTGTGTGTGTGTGTGTGTGTGTGTGTGTGTGTGTGTGTGTGTGTGTGTGTGTGTGTGTGTGTGTGTGTGTGTGTGTGTGTGTGTGTGTGTGTGTGTGTGTGTGTGTGTGTGTGTGTGTGTGTGTGTGTGTGTGTGTGTGTGTGTGTGTGTGTGTGTGTGTGTGTGTGTGTGTGTGTGTGTGTGTGTGTGTGTGTGTGTGTGTGTGTGTGTGTGTGTGTGTGTGTGTGTGTGTGTGTGTGTGTGTGTGTGTGTGTGTGTGTGTGTGTGTGTGTGTGTGTGTGTGTGTGTGTGTGTGTGTGTGTGTGTGTGTGTGTGTGTGTGTGTGTGTGTGTGTGTGTGTGTGTGTGTGTGTGTGTGTGTGTGTGTGTGTGTGTGTGTGTGTGTGTGTGTGTGTGTGTGTGTGTGTGTGTGTGTGTGTGTGTGTGTGTGTGTGTGTGTGTGTGTGTGTGTGTGTGTGTGTGTGTGTGTGTGTGTGTGTGTGTGTGTGTGTGTGTGTGTGTGTGTGTGTGTGTGTGTGTGTGTGTGTGTGTGTGTGTGTGTGTGTGTGTGTGTGTGTGTGTGTGTGTGTGTGTGTGTGTGTGTGTGTGTGTGTGTGTGTGTGTGTGTGTGTGTGTGTGTGTGTGTGTGTGTGTGTGTGTGTGTGTGTGTGTGTGTGTGTGTGTGTGTGTGTGTGTGTGTGTGTGTGTGTGTGTGTGTGTGTGTGTGTGTGTGTGTGTGTGTGTGTGTGTGTGTGTGTGTGTGTGTGTGTGTGTGTGTGTGTGTGTGTGTGTGTGTGTGTGTGTGTGTGTGTGTGTGTGTGTGTGTGTGTGTGTGTGTGTGTGTGTGTGTGTGTGTGTGTGTGTGTGTGTGTGTGTGTGTGTGTGTGTGTGTGTGTGTGTGTGTGTGTGTGTGTGTGTGTGTGTGTGTGTGTGTGTGTGTGTGTGTGTGTGTGTGTGTGTGTGTGTGTGTGTGTGTGTGTGTGTGTGTGTGTGTGTGTGTGTGTGTGTGTGTGTGTGTGTGTGTGTGTGTGTGTGTGTGTGTGTGTGTGTGTGTGTGTGTGTGTGTGTGTGTGTGTGTGTGTGTGTGTGTGTGTGTGTGTGTGTGTGTGTGTGTGTGTGTGTGTGTGTGTGTGTGTGTGTGTGTGTGTGTGTGTGTGTGTGTGTGTGTGTGTGTGTGTGTGTGTGTGTGTGTGTGTGTGTGTGTGTGTGTGTGTGTGTGTGTGTGTGTGTGTGTGTGTGTGTGTGTGTGTGTGTGTGTGTGTGTGTGTGTGTGTGTGTGTGTGTGTGTGTGTGTGTGTGTGTGTGTGTGTGTGTGTGTGTGTGTGTGTGTGTGTGTGTGTGTGTGTGTGTGTGTGTGTGTGTGTGTGTGTGTGTGTGTGTGTGTGTGTGTGTGTGTGTGTGTGTGTGTGTGTGTGTGTGTGTGTGTGTGTGTGTGTGTGTGTGTGTGTGTGTGTGTGTGTGTGTGTGTGTGTGTGTGTGTGTGTGTGTGTGTGTGTGTGTGTGTGTGTGTGTGTGTGTGTGTGTGTGTGTGTGTGTGTGTGTGTGTGTGTGTGTGTGTGTGTGTGTGTGTGTGTGTGTGTGTGTGTGTGTGTGTGTGTGTGTGTGTGTGTGTGTGTGTGTGTGTGTGTGTGTGTGTGTGTGTGTGTGTGTGTGTGTGTGTGTGTGTGTGTGTGTGTGTGTGTGTGTGTGTGTGTGTGTGTGTGTGTGTGTGTGTGTGTGTGTGTGTGTGTGTGTGTGTGTGTGTGTGTGTGTGTGTGTGTGTGTGTGTGTGTGTGTGTGTGTGTGTGTGTGTGTGTGTGTGTGTGTGTGTGTGTGTGTGTGTGTGTGTGTGTGTGTGTGTGTGTGTGTGTGTGTGTGTGTGTGTGTGTGTGTGTGTGTGTGTGTGTGTGTGTGTGTGTGTGTGTGTGTGTGTGTGTGTGTGTGTGAAGACTCTTCCTGACTTTTCTTTCATTCTCCTGGGTGGTTACCAACAGCCAGTGCATGCCGGAGTATATGGTGTGATGTGTGTGCGGGGGAAGAAAGGAAAAAAAGACAAACAAAAAAGACAAAAAATAGGGATTCACCAGAAAAAGTCACTTCAAATACATGTAGCTGTATGGTGTAGACCAGGCTGAATAGTGACGGTCGATTCTTCAGCCTTGCAAGTTGTTGAATGGTGCAATCCCAGCACAAGTTGCTATGGCTTCTGCCGTAGCATTGCAATCATTGCCTCCGGCGATGGGCGTCAAAGGTCAGGTCAGGTCAGGTGTGTGTGTGTGTGTGTGTGTGTGTGTGTGTGTGTGTGTGTGTGTGTGTGTGTAGCACAAGCTATGTCTAACATAGCTGTTCGCTATCATCGCTTCCGCGATGGGCAGGTCTGAGGTCTGAGGTGTGTGTCCCAGGGTGTGTATTATCATATTTGGGGGGGGGGGGCGCAATTTACACCCGCCTTCACAGATGGATAGGAGAAACACAACCAGCTGTTGAAGTTTCTAATTCTCGGCTTGTGTCATGCCACCACCATTCGTGATTATACCAAGGTGGCAGATGCAGCACCTCGCATTCAGGGAGGGCTAAGTGTCACAACCAGTGCCCGGCAGGGGCAAAACCTCGTTAGCTGCATCCATGTTGTTGTTAGTGTTACCCTCACCCCGAGACTCGCGAGAGTTGTGAATGCTCAGTTGACTGTGGGGGTCGTCGGCTAACAAGCCGTGAAGTACGGCATTGAGGTTTTTGTGGTGTTGTCGGATCTAGTCAGTTTGGGTCCACTGTTATCAGGCTCTCTACGTCTCTCCCTCCAGTACCTCTTATTACCAGTGCTCCTACTATCCACACCTGCATCAGTACACTACACACCGGGGAAAATTTCTCACATTCGTCTTCTCATCACTTTTCTATCTTCTCGGCATGCCGACATGAACTTTAAGTTTCTTTGTTGTTTGTCTTCATGTAGGTTCACTGTTTCGCCTGGCCTGATCCACCTGGATATAGAAAGATGTTTGCGGAGAAGACTAAAAGTGACCGGCATAGCATGACAATTCACACTGACAGTGTTCGGACTCCCTGTTTTCAGCAAACGAAACCCAGTTCTTTGCTAAAATAATAATAGTCGCATGAGTGGTGACGTTTTTGACGGTTCAAGGGTTCATACAGGTCAAAAGTACAAGCTGATATAAAAATGGCAACTGCTTGAAGTTAGTTGAGCTGGTGAGGGCTGAACTCGGTGAAGGCAGGCAAGCCAAGAAATGTAGGGCAAGGAGCGATGCTGCTCGTGATCGATTGCTGTTATCCGTTTCTTGTGTGCGACCAACGCAATGTTGTATTGCCTTACTTCGCTTTCATACAAGACTTGAAGGGGATCCACAGGTACAGAGACAATAGCTCTCTCACTCTGAATGCGATGCCCGCATATCCGTTACGTCCACATCTACGTACTTGAACCTTCATAAGTCTTTTGAAGTTTGTTCGCGAGATGGAAAGCGGTTGAAGGCGTCCATTTACTCCAATGATGAAGGGAGTTTTCAAGGAAAGAGAAGGGAAGAGGGCAAAAGCTCTGCTTCATCTACTGCTGTTGCTGTTGACCTGGTCTATCACGTACACTAAAGGTGGAGAAGGTAAGATGAAACCCTCCAAGACATTGTACATGTACAATCAGTGTCAGTCAAATAAAATCGTCGACGTAGTCTCTCTAAAGTGCAATGATTCCACTCCGAGCGGCAGCCACTTCGTTTGACTGCCAGTCGTAAAGCAATAATTAATAACACCACCACAGCTGTGGAAGCTCGAGCGATAAAATGACCTGTGTTCAATCTCCCAATACAGGCATATTTTGTTTCGCCCTGTAACCCAGACGGGCTCAGTGCCCAATACAAAGGACCGCACGAGCATGGGCATGTGATGTTTCGGCAGTCTGCAATAGCGTGGGAAGTTCCTCCAACACAGACCTAGAGATTGTGTTTGGCCCGGGGTGCAGCCGGGTAAATATCGGCCATGGCCATGCGTTGGATTAGGACATTCAATCTTGATTCAGCTGGCACCTTCTGACGATAGACCAGTATCATGCTCAAGATGAAAGTATGCAATTCCTGGCCGCTTTTATTATCTAGGTCAGGTTTTGTTGATCGAGCGATCTAGGAGGCGCGTACCTGTACTTTGATCCTTGGGGGTGGCAGCATTCTTGCGGATGCGTACAACTCTGCCTGCCCGACTCTCGCGCAAACTGTAAAATTTATTGATTATAATTTCGTTTGAACTCGGATAATGAGTCGCTGTGCTCACCTTCCACTCTTTGGTCCTACCCAACGTTGAACCTTCCAAGTTAGTTGGAAGGCTGTTGGTTTGTACACTGGAGATGTGTTATAGCTAGGTCTCAGGTCGTTGAATGTCTCAGTAGCCAGTCAGTTTTGTGCCCTGTTATCGCACTTTCCGACTGCTTATTATGTTGTCACCGTCGTGGATGGGAAATTTGAGGACACATGCCACGTACTGCTCTTTTCTCTCCGAAACTCAACACTTGCAAGCCAGATATGAAAGAAAGAAAAAATCATCAATCACACCACCGGGACTCGAACCAGGGACCTTGCTGTTCGCGAGCAATGCTCTAACCAACTGAGCTACAGTATGACTCTTATCCACAGTGATGGAAAATCTATCCTTCTTCGATCAATCAATATCTGGCTTGCATCATACTGGCAGCTCACACCAATCAAGAGGGCCCTCGGCCATTCGCTTGATATCATGGGGAGCGCATCAAACTATCTATGTCCACTGCGAGCAAATACAAATTACAATTTCAAATTTGGACTTAACGGAGAATTTTCAAAGTGTTAGGAAATTTGAGGCCACATGCCACGTACTGCTCTTTTCTCTCCGAAACTCAACACTTGCAAGCACAGTCGTGGATAGTTGCTTCATAACTCGTTCCCATGTGTTTTCTTCTTCTATTTTATATTTCGTTTGATCGCGCTTCCTTCCTAAGCGCATATCCTCTCAACACTCCTTTTGACCATTTAAAAAATAGTCCGGCTGGGCTACACCAATGAATGGAAACAGAACAAAGTTTTCTGAATTTTCGGGCAAGGCCCGTGTTCAGGAGTATCCTTCCTGCCGGAACAAAAAGCTCTCTGAGCGCACAGATGGGAAGCCCCCCCCCCCTCCGCATATGTTGCATCTACCGGTACATAGCTCTCTTTTTTCAGACTACACATAACTTACATGCACAGTGCCAGTGCCAGTCATTGAGTTCCGACCATTCTCTAGAGAGCTGCACCATAGGTTGCACAGACTACCCTGTGCTAGGTTGAGGAGCCGCAGGATGTCGAGAAATTTACCCGAGCCTTCATGGACCATGTCTCGTTTTTCAAAGCCAGTGTGCAGCAAAATCTGAACTCGGGTAAAAAAAGAAAAGAAAGAAGGAGCATGCTGGATGATGTAACATGTATTGTATGACTCTTTCTATGTTTTGTCGTGTGTTTGGTTGGTTGCATACGTGTATGTGTGTGTGCATGGGGGGGGGGGGGGGATGCGTGCCTGGGCATGTGTGTTGCATGTGCACAACCATGGATGCGTATATTAAAGGGGAAGTTAAGGCAAAAATCAAAATTTCACCAGTTGTAGTCTTTGGGGTGCTGAGTCGAATGGTCTTGGTCCGAGAAAGCTGAGACGCTCCCTTCCTACTTGAATCCCAATCGAACTCGCGCACTTCCACCGAAACTGGGTGACTGCGCCCTACGAGATGGGGATTTGTATGCAAAATGTCACTAAAAGCGCCATTTCGTTCTTATAAAAGCACGGATGACCACGATTGGCCCATATGTTGTAGTCTTTTGGACGCTGAGTCGACTGGTTTTGGTCCGAAAAGGCTGCGATGCAGCGTTCCTCCTTTATTCCCAATCGAACATGGTTGAACAAGCGGTCACGTGGTCCTGCGTACACCAGTCACCTGGTCACCGTGCCTGCAGGGTACAACTTACTAGCCTGTTTGACCTTTTTTGGGTGCACTCCTGTCACTCGAGTTGAACTCGAGTTGAACCTTGGTGTGAAATTTGTCGCCTGCTGGCGTGGTGACCAGGTGATTTGGGCACCCAGGAGCACGTGACCGCTTGTTCAACCATGTTCGATTGGGAATAAAGGAGGAACGCTACATCGCAGCCTTTTCGGACCAAAACCAGTCGACTCAGCGTCCAAAAGACTACAACATATGGGTCAATCGTGGTCATCCGTGCTTTTATAAGAACGAAATGGCGCTTTTAGTGACATTTTGCATACAAATCCCCATCTAGTAGGGCGCAGTCACCCAGTTTCGGTGGAAGTGCGCGAGTTCGATTGGGATTCAAGTAGGAAGGGAGCGTCTCAGCTTTCTCGGACCAAGACCATTCGACTCAGCACCCCGAAGACTACAACTGGTGAAATTTTAATTTTTGCCTTAACTTCTCCTTTAATATTATTCGAGGGATTCCCCAAAGGCCAAAGTCTACATCAAGGGGTTCTCCAAGAACTAATAATTATAGGTGTGATATACATGTAGAATAGGGTACAAATTTAAAAGGAAGAAAGATATTAAGATATAAAAGAAGTCTGATATTCAATGGTCCTGTGTATGTACGTGTGCCCAGATGCAAGCCAGCAGACGCTGTCCGACTTGGAAATGGTCACCAGACCCGCGAGCAGCAGTCATAGCAGCAGCAGCAGCAGCAGCAGCAGTGCCAGCTCAGCTACGCCATTTCTAACTCCACCACCACCACCACCGACGACCCGAATCAGCCTTGTTATGTTCATTTACACGCCTGTCATCGTCATTAGCATTGCCTTGGTGGGAGCTATTATCGTTATTATCACGCGGCGAGGCTCACGCCCTGATCAAATTGTTGCAGGGAAAGAACCAAGCAAGCCCACAGTCAATCTGCGTCATGCCACGAAGAAAAAGCCAGCCAACAAACAGCATGCCTCTGACAGAGCCGATGGCGGCAAGGGGGATACACATGACTCCTTTTGGGATATACCTGTGCGAGTTTCCTCCCACTTGAAGGGAAGACAGGGCAATTTGGACGTGCCAGCAAGTGGCAGGAGGTCGTGTAGCTCTCTCGAAAGCATGGCGTCCTTCCTTCACGAGAGCTTTGAGCCAGACACGGCAGCCGAGGCCCGTGCCGAGAACGATCCTGCCCTGGATTTCAGCATGGACTGGCCAACCACCGTAGTCGACCTGCCTGGGGAGCCGATGATGAAGCTACGCTACAACATCGTCACAATCTCACCGAGCAGCCAACACGAGAATCCCTTCAACAGCAGCAGCAGCACCACCACGAACGACAACAACAGCAGCAGCAGCATCGATGATGATCAGGCTGGTGTGAACAACTGCATCAATCCATCCAGCTAAGACTGAGCGGTCATTGGAATTTCAGATCCATACCAGAACTGATTGCGAGGCTAGGGACAGCCCTAAGCTACGTCCAAGGCAGAGCAAGAGCAGCTGCCGCTATTGTTCGCTACATCTGGGTACAGCCCGCAACCTGGAAAAATGCTGTAAGACTAAAAGAAGTGACTTTCCTTTGATTTATATATTCTCCAGTGACAAGAGTTTTGTTAGGTCACTCCTCTGACTCTTTGTGGAGGTGGGCACGTGGGTGAGGGAGAGAGAGAGGGAGAGAGAGAGAGAGAGAGAGAGAGAGAGAGAGAGAGAGAGAGAGAGAGAGAAAGAAAGAGAGGTAGGTAAAGGTACGAGTTCTGTCAAAGACATCCATATCTATAATTGCGACAGAGCGTGTCCACTGCATTTGCCCAAATTTTAGGTATGGGCGATAAGGTGATACGAAATGTGAACCGAGGCATTGATGAATAATCCCAACCAATACAGAATAATCAACACGGAATTATCCGGAATTGTTTGAATTGACAATTATGGTGAATTCTTCTTACCGACGACATCCTTAGTTTTCTCCTTTTATTCTTCTCCTTCTCTCTTTATTGTCCACGGTGCTCATCCTTCATTTTTTGCTTTGATTGAAAAATGTAATGCTCACCTTTCTATTTTTAATCTTATTGCGTGATAAGATAACTTCTTGAACGTAATACTATTATTGTTCTAGCAGGCCAGATAACAGGATTTACAATGTACATGTGGTCATAATCAGATTACAAAAGAGGCTCGCAAATGCATCCATTATTCTATCTTATTTTCATTTCATTTGCCAGCTTCATGCAAGTCGCGAAATGTCATGCTGACTGAGAGACTATGATACATGTACATTAAGTTGAATTTTTAGTATGGTTCTGTTTGAGAATAGGCAATCAAATTTATCTCTTTGTTTTCATCCAAACTGGGTAAGTTTGAGGAATTTTAAAACAAACGTATCACACCAATGCAGGTGGATGTATCTTTTACTTTATTCTCCCTTGTATCTTGACTTCATAGTTTGATTTTATCCAGAAAGTGTGCTTGTGGTATTTCGGTTTCCTTCTCATGGTGCTCTGCATTTTGGTACAAGGGCTGGATTGGCTTGTACATGCGAGCCGTTGCCGGTGAGCTGTTCGTGCTGGTGTTCGCAAGCGTCGTGTGGTCTCGTCCGGTCGGGAAAAGAACCTATTACTGGAAGACTACCGTTGAAGTGGGATCATGCTGCCGAGCCCTCTGATGGCACATTGACTCCACTGCGGTCTTGATTTCTCTGGCCAGGACTGCAGTCACGCCAGTAGTTTAGCTACAGCTCATGCTTGGCAGTTTTAAAGTGGCCTTTGTGAATATGCGGAGAGCCCGCATTGGAGTCACCTTGGTAACGCTAGCGTCACTGTCATGATCTTATCCAACACCAACCACTAGGCTAGGCACTATGCTTCCAAATGCAAAGAACATGTAAGGCGCTTCAATTTACTACTTTATTATATTATTAGCATGAGTTCTTTGGTGCAGGGTAGATCTACAGTGAACAGGACACGAGGTGCGCGTGCATCACTAGCTCAGCGTAGTAGCCATGGACATCAACGACATCTAGCCAGAGAGGGCCAGGCGAAATCTAGACAGGCAATGCATGCAGACCCTACATTGTACATTGTATGTTAGGGTTACTAACGGTGGGAAAAGGTGCTGACGGGGTTAAAGTGGTGGGTGAGTGTTGGGGGCCAGCACAAATCGTACAGTGCAACTAGTGTAGGTATGGTACAGTGCACAGTATGCAGTCAGTGTCAACACTGGATGCTGGATTTTTGACAAGATACACAACTCACCGGATGGCCGGATTATTATTGTTACCGTATTCTTTATTTCAGGGTTGAAGATAACCTAGGGGCGGGTAGCCATCCAGGGGTTACCACTTGTGCGATATTGAATGGGTAGCATAACAGGGGGGGGGGGGGGAAATAGAATAAGGTAGCCAGACACATGGAATGAGGCAATAAAATCGGCCAAGACAGAGTGAATACAGAATAGGCCTGGGGACGATGTCGAAAAACTGAAATTGATAGAATAGAACAGGAGAAATATTATGCATTGGGTAATGAATATGCACATAGGCTGAAGGGTATAATATTATTATATTCGTCACTGATTATTGTTTCTACTGAGAGACCATCATCAAGATAGCAGAAGGGGAGAACTAAGTGAAGATGACAAAATGACATGCATAGTCAATGTAGCTTAAGTGGTTTGTTTCTTTATGGCTCATTGACGACACCGCGATGCCCACCACGAGGACGATCGGGAATAGGAGCGGGCGTCGGTGCACGAGTGCGAGCCTCCTCGCGAGGGAGCTCCTCACGGACCTGCAGCTTTGGTGCCGGATAGACGAGGGTTGGACAGCCGTCGCAAGGTGCCTTGGGTCCAGAGTAGTCACTGCGATGTTTGCAGATGATGTACTTGTGCGTGTGATCGAAGAAGTAGCTCCAGACACGACGCATGTGGTTGGCCAGGTACGGCACAGCGCACGAACGTTGTACTGTGTTGTACTTCCAGTCGATGTCGTTGACGCCTGTGACAAACCAGCCGGACCAAGCACCGCTGAACCACTGGATCTGGTAAGCCACGATATCGCCACCCTCGATAATGTAGTCTGCGTTGGTGTCCAGTCCAGCTACCCATCTACAATCGCTAGTTCTTCTACGTGTAACCTCCGTACACTGGGATTGGGAGCCTAGCTCATGATTAACACAGTCACTACCGGAACATCCAGCAAGAGCACTGTGTCCAAACACAACAACCAACAGCACAACTAGACTAGCTACCGCCCATATCTTCATGATTACAGAAGTGTGAAGTGATGGCCAAGGGGTTGAAGGTTGTGGAGGATTGCTAAACTTTGCTGAACTCAAATTGAAGCTTGGGAGAGAAGTGTTCTGACCTTTGGCAGCAACTTGCACTCCTTTTATACTGCTCTTTTGTTACTCGTTTCCCATTATTTTGGCAGCATCTTGCCAATATCCATGCGGGGAATAACGTCCACGTTTTTGAACTGTCTTCTCGATGTATAATGTATGTGCCGCTGCTCGTTCAGGGTGGAAGCGACAAGTATATTGTGAGGTTGAAGGGGGTTGTGGTGAAGTTGGAGTCACAGGGAATGGACGTGACTAGTGCACGTCACTGGAGCCATGCTTATGAATAAAAGTAAAAGTATATAGGCTCCGTGGGAGCTTTCATGTACATGTCTGTACTCTGGATACCAGCATGGAGATGTCCATGAATTCAACCCTGGAGGTGCTCATGAATAGGGGTGACGAGCGTGTACGCCATTAAGTCATGACCATTGTCCGAAATGTGTTCTTACCAGTGTATGGCTGGTTGACAAGTTACTATGATCAGGGGGTGGTAAACACAACATGCTGGAGCGCTGCAGTCGGCTCCTCCTTCTTTGAAGCTGGACGCGGGCCATCCCTCAGATGCTCCTCGCCAAGCGCCCTGGGATCATGTGTGGGAGTTTTGAATAATACGCTCTTTCATCGCATGCTATTGTTGAGTGTGTGAAACCCTACGCAGCAAGAACTGCCATGCACTCATCTCAAGCTGAAGGGATATTCATTTCTGTGACGTACATGTACTTACTTATTTATCCTCGCAGGTTGAATAGCATTGTCACACATACGCACATATGCATGTACATGTATGCATGTGTCCTGTTCATAACGTTACTTCGTGTACAGTGCGGTACAAAGTAGTCGTGTGTTTTCCATCATTTTGTAGACATCACCCCCTCCCCCCTCTTGGCCTTTCTCATCCAGCCAGTCTTTTGATCTTGTCAGAACTGAACCTCTGAATCAGCACCAGGTGCTGTCATCGGGGCACAGGCCGAGGAGGCATTCAAGGTATATGCTGGTCGGCTGGTCTCTTGCTCTTCCTAAGTCTTAGTCCAGTGCATTGATGCTGATACTGTGATAGTGGCGGCAGGGTAGATTTACGCGTCACCGGGTCGTCTACACGTCGTTCACCGTCTGGTGGCGCCGTTCATTCAGTGTGATACGTGTTACACAAGGCATGAGTGGTGGTATGTATGGTAGCGGCGGACATGTTACACTTTACGTGACTGTGAAGTACACTGCTCTACGCTGGATTGCATGGCACTAGGACCCTTTCAAGGTCTACTCAATTGCGGAAGATCGTGACGAGTTCATCTGCAGAACCCTGACAGATGGTATGACAGATGATAGACATGCTGGGTGGTGACATTAATTTTATTATTATTATTATTCACACATATCCGCCGGATGAGTACGCGTGGCCCATGCACCATGGGGACCCACGAATACAAAACAGCATCTGTTCCCTCAGCAATACAAGCAAGCAAGCAAGCAAGCAAGCAAAGATAAATGAGACGGCCCAGGCAGCAAAAACAAAGCGAAGAGAGATGAGGACATAGGCAACGAAAACAGTTCCAAAGCGTAGCCAGGGATTGACTGTGTGCATCTGGGTGGTGACATGCATGCGGGAAAAGGGGATGTACGAAATGAAAATGCATGGCACAATCACGTTCTACAGGTACATGCCTGTATGCATGCGCTCCACCTATACCAAGAGTATTAGAGCGTGCCCCGAGAGTGGATGCATGATTCAATGAACATACTCTTAGATGGTATGAGCGTGATGATCTTGGATGATATTGAATGGTGTCTCCAGTTGCACCGTTGAGCGTTTCAAAAGTCTTTCAGATACCGTAGCCGTTGATGGATAGCTTACAATTGAACCACAGGGAGAGTAAGCGACTACCGTATGTTTACCACCCTCTGCATGCTAAATTGAATGCTTTTTTTAAACACTCTCTGCGCTGCTGTCTTCCGCAGCCATACCTAAGTGCACTGATCATCTGCGAAATTTTAAAACATCCTCACATGAGCGTATTTCCACATACTCCCTAGCCAATAGAATCTACATGTATAGACACTCTCACAAAATAGCTTGCAGCCAACATTATCAGATTATCTCTTTCTTGTGTGTGTGCGACACCACAACTAAACACCACTCCATCTACATGCATGTTGCCTGCGACGAATGGGTCTATACTTGAACTCACACAGTACGAGCTAAGAGTAAGGCACATTCTTCACTCGAACCGTACACCCTAAACCAACATTGGGCTTTGGTTGTTAGCAACATCATCCTAGCTTAGTTGTGACTATTCAATGTGAAGTTCCTCTTGCCAGTACATGTATTTGTAAATACGTGGATTGCAGTGAACAGTGAGCATTTACATTACTGCGTGGGATATGCTGTCATGATCACATTATGACACTAGAGCAGAGGGTCACGATCAAAACCCAAAACGACGCTTAGTTGACAGGTCATGTGTCTACTGCGTTGGCATCAATGGCCTGCAGAGTCCACTGTAGAACGTGATTACTAGTATTGGATTGATCATTCTGTCTCTGCACCTCGGCACTGCACATGTATGGCGAGACCTACTGTACATGCATGGCGAGTGCATTAGTCTTGCACAATGACTGACTTCGTACAGCTGCACGTTCGGATCGCCATCATGAAAAGATCATGATGATGATGATCTGCTTGGTGTCACTTGGACGTTATCGAACACAGCGCGAGGTGGCAGTTTGACAATGGCCTATGTTACACTGCCGTCATGATGTCTCTTGTCCTTGCCACACCATTCTTCGTTGTTCTTTGACATGTTTAGTGTGGGTTGGACGTGAATGACTGACCGTTCACCAATCTCTCCATCTTGATCGTTTCATGTACATGCACGTGTCGAGTCCTAAAAACACTCGACACGTAAACATTTTAATGTACCCCTGTTTACACAGTGGGCCTAACGAGCAAAACAGGCAAGCTTTGGTGTCTGCTCGTCCCATACATTTACCAGTAGGCAGGTACGGTCCTCTGAGGATGTGTCTCTGGGAGTGGCAACCTGATCGCCTACGCAGTGTTCAGATTTCACATCATGAACGGCCAAATCCTTTCCAGTATTTTCTCAATAGACCTAGATGTTGTTAACCGATTGCTATAGAACATTGTACTCCTCTGCATGAATAAGGGTATCATAATTATGGGGTTTGTACTCTAGTCTTCCTACGTGATACCCCGCTCACGATCCATACCCAAGTGCACGGGCGGGACAATATAAAATACAACGATTTCGAGAAGGCAAAGCAGAATTCCCCTCCACTTCTCTTCCTGCGCATCAGTTCTCGACTCTAAGAAACCTTTCTTGCAAATAATATTTGAAATACTCTTGCCTTTGGTAAAGCAGTTGAGCAGCGTTTCCACTGCTGTAATCATGAAGATATGGGCGGTAGCTAGTCTAGTTGTGGTGTTGGTTGTTGTGTTTGGACACAGTGCTCTTGCTGTATGTTCCGGTAGTGACTGTGTTAATCATGAGCTAGGCTCCCAATCCCAGTGTACGGAGGTTACACGTAGAAGAACTAGCGATTGTAGATGGGTAGCTGGACTGGACACCAACGCAGACTACATTATCGAGGGTGGCGATATCGTGGCTTACCAGATCCAGTGGTTCAGCGGTGCTTGGTCCGGCTGGTTTGTCACAGGCGTCAACGACATCGACTGGAAGTACAACACAGTGCAACGTTCGTGCGCTGTGCCGTACCTGGCCAACCACATGCGTCGCGTCTGGAGCTACTTCTTCGATCACACGCACAAGTATATCATCTGCAAACATCGCAGTGACTACTCTGGACCCCAGGCACCGTGCGACAGCTGTCCAAGGTTCGTGTATCCGGCATTGAGGCGGCCCGCGGCACCTTCTCGCGACGCCGAGCCATAATCAAACACCCTAGTCTAGCGAAGGAGTCTGTATAACAATAAAAGTGTTATAGAATCTGGATCATCGCATCTCTATCTGAAAGTTATACTTCGTCTCATGGTATCCATAATCTCATGTATTCTTTACACCGCTGTTTATTCAATATGATCCCTATCTGCTGGGATCAGTTCGCTGGCCATCTTGCACCTGAGTGTATCTCAGTGTCATTCATCACCTTGCATCAGTGTCCGATGTTAGATCATGCAGTGAAACAGTGCTAGAATTGTTCTCCACACGCTCCCTTATAGACATTATCATCGTTAGAGCACATCAACCTTCACTTCCTGACGCATATTCTGACTTTAGCTTTTTCTCCATCTCTGGATAGTTCATGGTATTGTCGTATTAAAAATATGATAATATTATTTTGCTTGGCTGCACCAGTAGTAATCCCGCGTGTGCATGCACATCCAGTCATCCACTTTTGTTAACGATATGTCACACTCATATGACAAGGTCGTATTGAACAATATGCAGGTGCTATAGCAACTACTAGGTTGTAGGCTGACTTCGAGCTGACAACTTGAAGTTCTTCGAGCTCTTGGAGCGAGAAGCAATGGCCTATTGATAGATTTGTCTTTCAATGGAGTGAAACGTTATTATTTATGGGAAAGGAGGAATGGAGGTTTGGTGCTCTGAACGCACGAGGACTTTCCTCTGTCGCGAAGCGGAGAGCGCTTGTTCGCGAGGCCGAAAAATTCAATCTTGACATTATCGCGCTGCAGGAAACGAAGTTGCAGGAGAACCTGAACGAGAGGATAGACGAACACCAGCTAGTTACATTCAAACCAGACACGCCTGCTCGCGGCTTGGGGTTTCTTGTCGGGCCGACCCTGTCAAGCTCCCTGCACAGCGCATGGTCCGCCCGAGATACGGAGCGCATCGCTGTAGCACAATTTCATGTGCCATACGGAACCGGAAAACGCTGGCTGCTGCTCAGCGTCGTCAATGCTTATGGTCCTACATCAGCTATAACTGGAAAAGCGCCCGAGGAGTTAGAGAAGTTCTACGACTCGCTTACAAACGTCATCCACGACCTGCGGAACAGCGCGCTGGTGTTCGTACTTGGCGACTTCAACGCCAAAGTCGGACCACGCAGAGATGGGGAGGCATGTATTGGTAGACATACGAAAGGACAGCGTAACAGAAACGGCGACGCACTGGTGCACTTTGCAGACATGAACGGATTTCTCCTTGCCAATACGTGCTTTCAGCACCCCAGTCGTCACCTTACGACATGGGAGGGTAGGTGCCCAGGTGGAACCCCAATTTATAATCAAATAGACTTCGTTCTGTGTAAGCACAACACCAAGTCATTGCTACAGGATGCCAGGAGTTATGCTGGCATTGAGACATCGTCGGACCATCGCCTTGTCATATGCCGATTCTCACGGAAATTGCTGCCTAGTGTATGGAAGCCGAAGGGCTGTCGTGCATCGGTCAAGCCATTAAACTTGGGAAAGTTCTCCTGTGGAGATGCAAGATGCAAGTTCACAGAGGAAATGGAGAAAGAAGCAACCAAATTTTGCTGTAAACTGGATCCGAACTCAAACATGCATTCTCTGAATAAAGCTCTTCGGGGCGTCGCTGCGACTGTCCTTGGGTACAGACCTAAGTCCAGCCTGCCATACGCAACTGTTGACGTGGAGGCCTTATCCATGCGACAGAAAAAGCTACGAATGGACATCAATAGCACGCGGGATATTGCTAAGCGTAAGAAGCTACAGCAAGAGCGGAACAAAATTCAAAACCAAATAAAGAGGAAGTCACGTCAACTGGCATCAGACTATCTGGACGGGCAAGTGAAGAGAATTGAAGACCTCAAGGACAATGCACAGATGTTTGCAGCAGTCAAGCAATTGCAACCGAAGCGTGATGGCGCTGTTACTGTCGAGGATATGAATGGCAAGCGAATTCTAAATAATGAAGGGAAAGCCAAAGTAGTAGCTAAGCACTTTCAACAGCAGCTTGGACCAGCCACCTGCAGGGTCATTGAGCCTTTTGAAGGCATTCCAAGGCCCCTAGACTGCCCTATTACACAGCATGAGGTCGCGCATTCTTTTAGGCGCCTCAAGAATGGACGTGCATGTGGCCCTGACGAGCTACCAGCAGAGCTCCTGAAGTATAGCGGACCCGCGACAGCCAAGCTAATATCATCAATTCTCAACAACGTTTTCGAAACACACCAAGGCATCGAAGTCGGCAAAGGCACCCTCATCCCGTTGCAGAAGCCGGGAAAGCCCAAGGGCCCTACTGCTAATCTCCGTCCGATCATCCTGCTCCCATCACTCAGGAAAAGCCTTTCTCTCGTTATCTTGAACAGAATCCGTCCGGGAGTGGAGAAGTACCTTTCACCCGGGCAGTCCGGCTTTCGCCGCAACAGGTCGACGGCGGATGTAGTCTGGTGCAAGAGGTGGCTTTCGTCGATTGTGGAGAGATTCAGTGCAGAAATTCATGTCCTCGGCCTTGATTTCAGCAAGGCATTTGATACTGTGAACAGAGAGAAGCTTCTGCAAGTACTCCGCAGTGAGCAGATTGCTAATGACGATGAGGTACGCATCATTCGATACCTCATGGCCAACACGACACTTGAGGTGAAGATAGAATCATTTAAGTCACCTGCATTTCCAACCACAAAGGGAATACCACAAGGAGACGGACTTTCACCTGTACTGTTTACGGTATACCTCGAAGCTGCACTACGTGATCTTCGATCATCACTACCACCAAGACCGACTGCAGATGCGCAGATACCACCGGAAACAGCATATGCCGACGACGCTGACTTCATATCAACGTCCCACACATACCTCCGTCAGCTTCTGGCACTTGCAGAGGACATCTTCGACAAGTGGGACCTGAAAGTCAATGTTTCTAAAACGGAATGGGTCAGGATGTACCTTGAACCAGTTTCAGAAACAACAGTGCACCGTGGTCAAGAGCAATGGAGAAGCATCAGGACTCTGGGCTCTCTGTTTGGCACTGCACAAGATGTGACACGCAGGATTGGTCTTTCTGCTGTGGCATTTGGTCGAATGAAGGCGATCTGGTTTCGGCGGCAACATCTACAAACTAACACCATGGTACGACTCTACAACGCATACGTTCTTCCAATCCTCACGTACAATATTGGCTGCGCAGGCCTCTCTAAGGCACTGGAAGACTCCCTGGACAAGATCCATCGCAAGCAACTTCGGCACATGCTTGGTATATTCTACCCTCGTGTCGTGTCGAATGATGACCTGTATGAGCTTGCTCACACTGAGCCAATATCCGCTATGGCAAAGCGAGCGAGATGGCGTCTGCTTGGACACATCCTACGCCAGCCATCATCGACACCAGGCAATCAAGCAATGATTGCATACGCATCAATGGAGGACGCTGTGAGGCACAGGAGGGGAGCTCCAAGGTCCTGTTTAGTCACCACCCTCCAGCAAGACGTCAAGTTCACCGCCGTCGCATTGAAGACGAGCCGGAACCTCGAAACCCTAAGAAGTTGTGCAGTTGACCGGCAGAAGTGGAGTAACATTTGTTCTGCGGTGGTGTGAACACACATGACCGGCTGTGATTTTGGTGTGGACGCACATGACTAACTGTGATGACCAATGATTTCATTTCATTTATCTTATTTTTTATTTTTCTAAGAAAGAGCTTTGCTGATGTGGTGTATTGGAACTCATGTGAAATCTACACCGTGATTGTTTTCGTCAAATATCATATCTTCTCTTTTCTCTCTCTGCCGCGGTGCTTTTTGTCACTCCATTGTCGTGAGTTCCCTTTGGAACGTAGACGAGAATTATTATTTGATAACCGCAATCAATAAAACTAGCTGAACCGACATTTGTGTACTTTATTCATGCAATGTAAAAACGGTGGAGACGATGTGCAATAAAACGATGAAAATATGAAGAAATGGTGTAGGGAAAAAATATATGGATTCAAACAAGTTTTCGTACAACACTCATCAGGAATCGTCGTTGTACTAAAGGACACTGAAACAAAAATTGAACTATTATAGAAAATCTAAGTTGCAGAAATAACACTAAGAGCAACAACAGTGAAATTTACAAAAATTGAACTATTATAGAAAATCTAAGTTGCAGAAATAACACTAAGAGCAACAACAGTGAAATTTACAAGTGTGAATTTTAACAATCAAAGCGAGAAATGAACAAAGGAGAAAGGAAGGAAAGACAACGTGATAACACATAACAGCAGTACATTACACCTAGAACATTAACGGCCAAGCTTGGCCGCACTAAACACGACACGTTACTTGAACAATTTCAACCCAATTATACTATCTTTCTGTACACACAAATTAGGCTTGTACAGACGCTGATAGATAGCTTCCAACACTTTTAACTGTAGTCCATAACCATGACGACCACGGCACAATACAGTGAACGAAGAGTCGGAATACGAATTACAACAATCAGGACTAGCTAGCATTTCTTCATATTTTCATCGTTTTATTGCACATCGTCTCCACCGTTTTTACATTGCATGAATAAAGTACACAAATGTCGGTTCAGCTAGTTTTATTGATTGCGGTTATCAAATTATTGTCTCCTCGCCGTGTGTTTAAAGAATTATTATTATTATTATTATTAGCAACTACTCATTTCGATCGTTGTGAGTGATATATGCGGTGGGATACGGAGAGCACTTTTCAAGTGGCTGCATCGCGTGTTGACCGCACAACGTATTATTCTGGTAGACCAGGCCATACTAGCTGGCTTGTGGGAGTCCGGTACAGAGCCGTGGATGACCTTGAAACCAGGACACATTCCTGGGGAAAACGGTAGAAATTTGCAGGACTAATGCACATAAGGAAAATATGCCCACGCGCCCATCTGCATCGCTATCTGAAGTTGACGGTAATGAGGTCATCATCTAGAATTGCTAAGAGAGAGGGTGAAAGCCTCGGAGATAAAGAGGGGAGAGATGGAGAGATATACGAGTAGAGGGGAGAGATTGAGATTGAGAGAGAGAGAGATAGATAGATAGAGAGAGAGAGAGAGATAGATAGATAGAGATAGAGAGAGAGAGAGAAAGAGAGAGGTAGAGGTACGACTGAGTTCTGTCAAAGACATCCATATCTATAATTGCCGCAGAGTGTGATTTGCCTATAATTTTGGTTATGGGCAATGGGATGATACGAAATTTGAACCGGGGCATATGTGAATAATCCCAACCAATACGGATTAATCAATACGGAATTATCCCAAATAGTTGGAAATGATAATTGTGGTGAATTTTTCTTACCGACTACATCCTTAGTTATTTTCCTTTTATTCTTCTCCTTCTCTCTTTATTTTCCACAGTGCTCATCCTTCATTTTTTGCTTTGGTTGAAAAAATGTAATGCTCACCTTTCTATTTTTAATCTTATTGCGTGATAAGATAACTTCTTGAACGTAATACTATTATTGTTCTAGCAGGCCAGATAACAGGATTTACAATGCACATGTGGTCATAATCAGATTGCAAAAGAGGCTCGCAAATGCATCCATTATTCTATCTTATTTTCATTTCATTTGCCAGCTCCATGCAAGTCGCGAGATGTCATGCTGACTGAGAGACTATGATACATGTACATTAAGTTGAATTTTTAGTATGGTTCTGTTTGAGAATAGGCAATCAAATTTATCTCTTTGTTTTCATCCAAACTGGGTAAGTTTGATGAGTTTTAAAACAAACGTATCACACCAATACAGGTCGATGTATCTTTTACTTTATTCTCCCTTGTATCTTGACTTCATAGTTTGATTTTATCCAGAAAGTGTGCTTGTGGTATTTCGGTTTCCTTCTCATGGTGCTCTGCATTTTGGTACAACGGCTGGATTGGCTTGTACATGCGAGCCGTTGCCGGTGAGCTGTTCGTGCTGGTGTTCGCAAGCGTCGTGTGGTCTCGTCCGGTCGGGAAAAGCACCTATGACTGTAAGACTGTGTACTGGCTACCGTTGAAGTGGGATCATGCTGCTGAGCCCTCTGATGGCACATTGACTCCACTGCGGTCTTGATTTCTCTGGCCAGGACTGCAGTCACGCCAGTAGTTTAGCTACACCTCATGTTTGGCAGTTCTTAAGTGGCCTTTGTGAATATGCGGAGAGCCCGCATTGGAGTCACCTTGGTAACGCTAGCGTCACTGTCATGATCTTATCCAACACCAACCACTAGGCTAGGCACTATGCTTCCAAAGGCAAAGAACATGTAAGGCGCTTCAATTTACTACTTTATTATATTATTAGCATGAGTTCTTGGGTGCAGGGTAGATCTACAGTGAACAGGACACGAGGTGCGCGTGCATCACTAGCTCAGCGTAGTAGCCAGGGACATCAACGACATCTATCCGGAGAGGGCCAGGCGAAATCTAGACAGGCAATGCATGCAGACCCTACATTGTACATTGCATGTTGGGGTTACTAACGGTGGGAAATGGTGCTCAAGGGGAAAGTGGTGGGTGAGGGGTGGGGGCCAGCACAAATCATCGTACTATGCAACTAGTGTAGGTATGGTACAGTGCACAGTATGCAGTCAGTGTCCACACTGGATGCTGGATTTTTGACAAGATACACAACTCACCGGATGGCCGGATTATTATTGTTACCGTATTCTTTATTTCAGGGATGAAGATAACCTAGAGGCGGGTAGCCATCCAGGGGTTCTCCGCTTGAGCGATATTGATTGGGTAGCATAACAGGGGGGGGGGGGGGGGAATAGAATAAGGTAGCCAGACACATGGTATGAGGCAATAAAATCGGCCAAGACAGAGTGAATACAGACTAGGCCTGGGGACGATGTCGAAAAACTGAAATTGATAGAATAGAACAGGGGAAATAGTATGCATTGGGTAATGAATATGCACATAGGCTGAAGGGTATAATTATATTCGTCACTGATTATTGTTTCTGCTGAGAGACCATCATCAAGACAGAAGAAGGGGAGAACTAAGTGAAGATGACAAAACACATGCGTAGTCAATCTAGCTTGAGTGCTTTGTTTCTTTATGGCTCATTGACGACACCGCGATGCCCACCACGAGGACGATCGGGAATAGGAGCGGGCGTCGGTGCACGAGTGCGCGCCTCCTCGCGAGGGAGCTCCTCACGGACCTGCAGCTTTGGTGCCGGATAGACGAGGGTTGGACAGCCGTCGCACGGTGCCTTGGGTCCAGAGTAGTCACTGCGATGTTTGCAGATGATGTACTTGTGCGTGTGATCGAAGAAGTAGCTCCAGACACGACGCAAGTGGTTGGCCAGGTACGGCACAGCGCACGAACGTTGTACTGTGTTGTACTTCCAGTCGATGTCGTTGACGCCTGTGACAAACCAGCCGGACCAAGCACCGCTGAACCACTGGATCTGGTAAGCCACGATATCGCCACCCTCGATAATGTAGTCTGCGTTGGTGTCCAGTCCAGCTACCCATCTACAATCGCTAGTTCTTCTACGTGTAACCTCCGTACACTGGGATTGGGAGCCTAGCTCATGATTAACACAGTCACTACCGGAACATACAGCAAGAGCACTGTGTCCAAACACAACAACCAACACCACAACTAGACTAGCTACCGCCAATATCTTCATGATTACAGCAGTGTGAAGTGATGGCCAAGGGGTTAAACGGATTGTGGAGGATTGCTCAACTTTGCTGAACTCAAATTGAAGCTTGGGAGAGAAGTGTTCTGACCTTTGGCAGCAACTTGCACTCCTTTTATACTGCTCTTTATTTCTCGTTTCCCATTATTTTGGCAGTATCTTGCCAATATCCATGCGAGGAATAACGTCCACGTTTTTGACTCTCTTCTCGATGTATAATGTATGTGCCGCCACTCGCTCAGGGTGGAAGCGACAAGGATATTGTGTGGTGAAAGGGGGTTGTGGTGAAGTTGGAGTCATCGAGAATGGACGTGACTAGTGCACGTCACTTGAGCCATCCTTATGAATAAAAGAAAAAGTATATAAGCTCCCTGGGAGCTTTCATGTACATGTCTGTGCTCTGGATACCACCATTGAGGTGCTCATGGATACAACCCTGGAGGTGCTCATGAATTGGGGTGACGAGCGTGTACGCCATTGAGTCATGACCATTGTCCGAATGTGTTCTTACAAGTGTATGGCTGGCTGACAAGTTACTATGATCAGCGGGTGCTAAACACAACATTCTAGCTAAAGTGTTGCGATCGGCTCCTCCTTTTTTGAAGGTGGACGCGGGCCATCCCTCAGATGCTCCTCGCCAAGCGCCCTGGGATCATGTGTGGGAGTTTTTTTTTAAATAATACGCTCTTTCATCGCATGCTATTGTTGAATGTGTGGAACCCTACGCGGCAAGAACTGCCATGCACTCGTCTCAAGCTGAAGGGATATTCATTTCCATGACGTATATGTATTTACTTATTTATCCTCGCAGGTTGAATAGCATTGTCACACATACGCACATATGCATGTATGCATGCGTCCTGTTCATAACGTTACTTCGTGTACAGTGCGGTACAAAGTAGTCGTGTGTTTTCCATCATCTTGTAGACATCACCCCCTCCCCCT